AAGTTCTGTTAATCAATGAAGGAAAGATATGTAAATGATATGCAAATTATTATGCAAATTAGCCCCGGCGCTATGCATTTTTTCTGGGGAGAACCCTGTAATAGCATGTTTATCTAAAAAAAATTAGATGCAATATACCAAATCCTTTACATACATTACCGGCATAAATAAACAACATATGCCATATTCTTACATATTGTAAATTGTCTTACTATTCACAGATAGTTTTATGTCCGCTCAACTATGTAAAAACTTTATTAATCCGTTAACCAAAAAAGAAATGTCACATTATCTTTACGGTATTAATAAAGAATTCTATTCTATTCTACTAAGTCACAGTCATCACTATATGGTACCTTTAGAAATTTGAACTGTGCAAACATTCTGGCCACTCTCTCACAGTTTTGTCCCTCAAGAATGAAATCCAGTTCTCTTGGTAAATTCCTCTTGGTCTCTTCTGCTAGCCACACTATGCGAAACTCAGGAAACAATCTTGCAGCAATATGAAGTAGAAACTATATCAAATTAAACAAACTACATTATTCATTTCCACTAGAAACCCTTGCATAATTTCGTCCATATTATGTTTTAAATGATGATCAAATGGCAAATTATTCCATTTGGTCCAAAAATTAAGAAGAAATTATGGCATTATTGGCAATGAATGAAAAAAAAAACAAGAAGCAGTTTACCAGCTGCCTCAATTGCTACAACATTACCAGGATGTTACAAACTTTCTATTTCTATATTAACCCCTTGAGCACCATCATTTGTGTACATTCCAAATTTTAGAACAATGTAGCCCTGGATTATCCCTATGTGTAGCTTCACATTACGACACATAGGTGCTGCATGCGAGCAGAAGTTTGAGTCATGCACGCAGTAAATGTTTACTTTGATTTGACATAGTATTTACCATGCCATTTATAAGGTGATATATCTTTCTATATCACCAGATGAGTTTACTATTACTATGAGTTTACGATTATTTCTCTGTACTTATATTCTAATGTATAATCTAAAATATATTCTACAGAGGAGAACAATGATCAATGTTCAAATATGGGCAATGTTATAATAATAAACCAGTGTTATTACTAGTTTATTCAGAGAAATATTACACAATAAGCTGATTAAGTTGTCATTCAGGATTGATGCATCAAATCTACTCTTGGATTTGAGATAATGCAATTTTTATCAACAATATAATTAAATTCAGTGTGATTGAATTTATTGATTTCTACCCCGGTATTATCTCACCTCCATAGTTTTCATATCCACATATGAATGCTTCTGGACATCAGCATGTTGAACTTTGACAGCAACAGTTGTTCCATCATGTAATGTAGCTTTATGTACTTGTGCCAGAGATGCTGCTCCAATGGGCTTCTCAGAAAAACTAGTAAATAATTCCCCAACCTAAATAGACAATATATAAAATTCTAGGTATCACAATATCAAATGACAGTAATGAATTAGCTGACCAATTAGATTTGGGAGAGAGAACTGTATGGGTATATACTGGTACATTTTGAATACAACTTCTGTTGATCCAGCAAAACAAAGCCAAAATATCTTTGGTGGTACAGCGGTACTCACACACACTGGGTGAAATATTATGCCTTGCGTATACAAACATATGAAAATTTGTGCTTACAAGTCTTAGTAGGGGATTTGGATTATAACACGATCTAAAAGTTAAGCCTATAAACGTTCCATTGTTTTTAGTGCCAAATCCCAACAAATATTTCTTTGGTGTTTGTGAGCTCTTGGACAGCATGGACAGCTCTTCCACTTCTGTGTTTTACTCCCTATCAATTTGGGCCCTGTTTAACCATAGACAGTATAGGAGTATAGTAATACCAAAGTCAAACGCCGTATGCCCAACGCAAGCTGAGCAAGTAAACAATGACGTATTATTTACTTCGATGCGATGTCACTACTTTCGTATCGAACTACAAGTATCTTTCCACAAATGAGTAGTTTTCTTTCCGCAATACACATCTTTCGAACACACAATAGTTATCAGATGTAAATATTACTTTTAATATATATGTTCCTGTCTAATTGAATAAAATTATAAGTTAGTTTCAGACGGCTGTAATGTTTCCGTACATGCTATATTCAGTTTGTACCACATTTTCGACAAAATATTTCAATATTTTTGTTTTCATGATGCATGAATCATCTTATTATGTTATTGTTTACCGACTATGCTCGTTTTTTATTGTTCTCTGCCATGCATTTTTTTTCAAACAGACTTTGAATCCGTATGTTCTCCCGTCTGTCACCATCTTGACTATAGCTCACACTCTTTCAACCGGAATTCATGTCTAAGGTTGTACCCCGTTTTCGACAAAATACTCGAATTTTAGTTTTTATGATGCATGAAACTTTAAATTTTGTTATTTTCACCGACTACGCTTGTTTTTTGTTGTGTTCTGTCTCGCATTTTTTTTAATAGACTTAAATTCTGTCTTCCGTTTTCACGTCTGTTCCCATCTTGACTACACGACCAGTCCTTCAGCCTGAATACACGTCTACCTACGTTATACCCTGTTTTTATTAATAATTTCAACAAAATAACTTGAATACTTGTGTATAAATGAGGCACGATTGTCTTTATTATTTTATTTTCACTATTTTCGGTTTTTTGTTAGTGTTTCAAAGGGTTTCTTTTACGTGACGATCAAGAAAACGCAAATCTTTGCTATTTTCGATGTTGATGCCCGGGCTCTGAATCACACACACACAGAGTTGTTAACATGAATTGCTGTGTCTACTGCGTTTGGATCTTCTGCACCATCATTTCCACCGTCATCAAAATCCGAAAAAAAAAACATCGAGCAAATCATCTACACACGGGAACTCGTGATCATTTAGAATACCGCATTTCGCGAGAGTTCACGACTCTCGCCGCCTAAAAACAGAGTTTTCAAGACGGCACTTTCTTCATAGTAAACAGTTGTACCCGTAAACCAATTTTGACAGGAAACAGAAGCATGGTTTAGAAGCTAATTTTTTTAAAATCACTTTTGACCAAAACTTCAAACTACAGTGTCCATAAAACAAACACTTACAAAATTTTAAAATTCATACAATAAGGTTTCCAAAAATATATAGTTTTGTGGACAAGGAAGGTCATCTTGGTTGCCTAATTAACTAATTAAAATACCTGTAAGGTAAACTGCATCTCTACCTTAACGAAAAATTGAAATAAACATTTAGTTCATGTTAACGGTTAGTTTAAATCAGCTTAACTTATTTCCAGCCTACTCTGCTACAATAGAATCGCTGGAGTTGCTTGTCCTTCCTACTATATTGTCTATGGTTTAACTCCGGGGTTACGTCCAAACTCCACCCTCTTGACTGGGGATCTGTGTTAGAAAATAAACCTTTGTTGTTGCGGTGTACGCAAGAAGGTGAACTACTTATGTTTTTCAACATCACTTCACCTATTAACAATTCACCCCTAGACGTGATAATTTCATTTCAATAGTAAAAATCTGTTCTCAAAAATCCAAATAATCACAACCTCACTGAAATTTATTTTCTATTCTTACCCACAAGCCACACCCAGACCATTCATCAAAACGAGTGGTCCGGGGTATACTAGTACTGTGACCCATGCCGAGGACTTCCTGTTTGTAATGCTATATGATAAATCAGGAGGTATGTACGGTACCCTCTAGAAGGCATTTGAGACCAGTTTTGAGACTCTCCCACAGAGGAAGATGCCATTTGAGACCGTGTTTGAGACCGATTTAGAGACTCTCGGATGCCACATAGACCGGGAATGAGACCGTGTCTGAGACCAGCTTTAGAGACTCGCGGATGCCCCGCAGACCGGAAATGAGACAGTGTCTGAGACCAGCTTTAGAAACCGTCAATTCGCGCAGTCTGATTGGACAACCATCTGACATCAGAAAATTGTATTCTACTCTTTTCACCATGAATTTAGGAACAGAAAAATTGTCGATAGATTTGTTAGCGTACAGACAGCCATGGTAAATATTTTATTTTACGTCAGTAAAAATACGTGGTCACGCCTGTAAAAAGGTTATTCCTGCGTCACGCGCCGCCGATTACGTGAAAACACGGTTACAGTCTCTTTTAGTAACCGTG